AAATCACAATGAAATATTATACATTTGTCAAAATAGATGGTTATTTTCTGCTGACTCGCTCATTTATTGCTCAATCACAAAATTACATAAAACAGAGATAAGCTGTAAAACACTAGATAGACATCTTAAAAAGAAAAACCAGCTTGGACTTTGAAACCAATCAGATGAAACTAATCTTTTTTGGCACACAACCTTTTGATTAATCCACAATGAAATGTTTCCATTTAAAAACACCAAGCTTTGACTATCTTTAGACATTTAGCGACCGTATAACTACAGTGTTTACGAGTCCCTAAACTGGGACATTTGGAAAACACCACTGACCCCAGTCCTGAAAAACAAACAACATTTTGGGAACAATTTGACCACAAATGACGACGCTCCCGTTCTGCCTGCATGTTGATACTTTCATGAACACTTCCGGCGTATTGTCTGTCCGCACAACAAATCTTCTCACCCTTGCTGTTCTGAACCGTAGTGGTTTCTGCAGCTAAGAAAGAAACCAATGTTAGAATAGAGAGTCTACTTCCTGTTTACACTGACTCACACAAGTATGAGTTGATATTATCTCCGATGTGCTTTTCTGAACTTCTGCATTGATCATTTTAAAATAAAAACAAAAGTAGCTGCCTTGGTCGTTATTAACAAAAGTCCTCTTAACACATATCTGACTCTTGGTTGTGTGTGTCGTGGTATTTTAACACTTTTCCTCCCCTGTTGCTCCCAGCTGTCGCACCTCCTCTTATCTGCCAAGAGGACGCACTCTCCTCAGGGTCGTTCAAGCTGACGGAGGCCTGCTACATCTTTTAGAGACGACCCTGCAGAATAGTTGGCATTCCTCAGGGGGAAGGAACAGGGCGGCGAGAATTATTTCTGCCAAAGGTCAAACATGGAAATGATTATGCACATTGTTGCTGATGTGCAGTAGTCTCTCTCTCTCTCTCTCTCTCTCTCTCTCTCTCTCCCTCCCTCTCTCCCTCCCTCTCTCTCTCCCTCTCTCTCCCTCTCTCTCCCTCTCTCTCCCTCTCCCTCTCTCTCTCTCTCTCGCTCTCCCCTTGTCTCTTTGGCTGAAATGAACACACAATAAAGTCTGTCTCCCCGCTGACCGTTTTCAAATGTTAATGGCTGGCTCATGGTGCGAGGGCGCAGCAGGGGGGGGTGGAGGAGGGTGGAGGGGAAGGCTATTCATTCTCGCTGGGGGGAGAAGCCCTTCACGCACACTGAAAAATCCTGCACAGGAGCAAAGATGTGGCACAGGGGGCAAGCAAGTCTGCTCTTAAAAAGAAAACGCTGAAATAACGCAAAATCACAGCGTGAAGATACCAGCACTTCTTAACAGGCACCGCGGTGGTTAAATGGTCGATGGGACGGCTTGTGAAAATAGGAAAAAAGCTGTTTTTTTTACGGCCTGAATGTGTGCTTCAAACTTGCAGAGGTTTCCCTAAAAAGGTTAAACAAGCAGAGGAAAAGGGATTGTTTGCCCGGTCCGCTTTCAGGAGAATACAAATGTCTCTTTCTGCGCACACCCCAGAAGAGAAAAGCTGCAGTATCCCGACGTGCCCTGCCGCCACACTCATTACTAAACCTAAAGGGGGCACCTTGAAACAATCATGTGCATCTTCCGAAACAGCCTTCCCACGCACAATCGCATGGAATGCTCTCATTCTCACGGGGCGCTCCTCGACCTCCCTGCCCCCACCCCCCCCCCCCCCAAAAAACCCTCCACCCAACTCTGTTTGCCCTCTCGTTCCCCCCCCACAACTTCCTCTTTCTTTCATTTTCTGCAGGACCCTTTCAGCATCACAGATCCTCCTCCCCCCTCCCTCTCAGAACAATGTCTGCCCCGCTCTCCTCCAGACCTCTTTTTGCTTTTTGGACCAGAGCCTGGAACCTGAACCCATAAAACAAAGAAAGAAACACTGAAGAAAACACACACACACACACACACACACACACACACATGTATTGGCTAGAATCTGGGTTCACCTAATCATTCTTCTCTGCGGTTGTGAAGCTATTTTTGAAACAGTTACGTCAGCTGTGGAGGAATGAGTTAAAGGTTGTGGAAGTCACCAGGCAAGAATGTACAAATGACGACTACTTCAACTTTCTATCAAAACACTTTTTAAGGTTTTTTGTTATTACACTGCTTCACGTTCAGATCGAGAGTGGGAGAAGAAGATGTTTATGTCTCCCAATTACAGAAAAAGAGTAAAAAAAAAAAAAAAAAGTTCAGGTTTAAAAGTGATTTCTTTATTCATCCTTATGCTTTGCTGAGCTGTCAGGAGGCTAGCTGCTGATTTCCCCAAACAGCTTGTTTTCAACCTGTGTGCTATGCTAAGCTAACAGCTAACTGGCTCCACATGTACTCTATGGCGTCGACATTACCTCCTACTTCCCATCTGAGAGTTAAAAAAGCCCATTGGAAAACAAAAAACACAGAATATTGAGCTATTTCTCTCAACTCCCTCGTGTATCTTCTCTTCCCGTCTCCTCGGGGGGGGGGTTAGAGGGAATAGGTGACCTATGAAAGACAAGCTTTCCCTTCACACCTGAACACCCCCCTCCTCTGATGTCACAGGAATGAGTCTGGCTAGATTCACCTCAGGACATGTGACGGCTGGAGCGCACAAACACCGGAGCGACCTCTTTTAAGCGTCTGTTGAATCATTAGCAGGAGCTTAATATAGCTGTGAATTATTCATTGCGGGCTGAGATCAAGAGGGGATGCTGAGATCTGATATTCATCTTTGACACTACTTAACAGACTTCTGACCGGCGAGAAACCTGGAAAACGATGTGACGCTTGACGCCTCATTCCCAAACCTTTTCTTCTCGGTGCCTGCGACCTTAAGTCCTCAGGTGCTGTTGCATAATTCAGAAATGTTAATCATAAGCAAAAGGCTCTCTTGCATGGTTTCTATGCCCTCCCTATCGCGACTGTATGTGATATAAGCAAACAAAGACAAATGTAGTGTTACATCAGAAGGGCAGCTGGAGGGCGATAACAGCATGTTGTCGATCCCAGTTATAAACATCCACTCGTCAATCTTCTAGTCCATCACAGTCCAGCTTGTTTCCTCCCCTGATATCCCTCATAACGCACCCAAACACATCATCACCACTCTCCCCCTCTCCACTCTGTTAGCTGTGTACTTGGACAATGAGTCAGTTTTAGGGAACATGACGCAGATACACACAGCGTGGACGCCCTCCGATCACCACCACACCCGCACAAAAAGAGTGACACCAAGGCCCCAAACACAAGCTTACAGCTTGAACTGTGTCCGAGAGAGTCCGGTGCCAAGAGTCTGGGAAAAATAAGCCACTTCACACTTCTGAAAAACAGCTTGTGACGAGATGAGGCCAGTGCCCTCCAAACCCCTGAATCATCCAAACACTTAGCACAGTTTTTGCATGAGAGAGAGAGAGTGCAGATTCCTTATATGGTGAGGCTGACTTAGAGACTCAAAATCTTAGAAACCGTCTCAAAGCAGGGGGCGCAGCATGTCAACATCCCCAGAAGTCAATCCAAAGCTTCCTGTAATCTGACATCGAGCCGAATCAAACTGTCAATCACATGAATAAATCCCAGTGATGAGATGAGACAGAGCACCTGATTGGTTACGTGCTAAACAGAGCATCAAGTGACTTATATGATGATGATGATGATGATGATGATGATGATGATGATTCATTTGAATTGAAAGTGGAAATGATCCAATCCAGAAGTGTGATGATGTTTTACTCACTTGATAAAAAAAAATAGACTTTCCCTTCAGGGATTTTTAAACAGTGATTCAATTGAGCTTCAAAATGTAGTTTATGAAAGTAGATTTCTCTCGTTTTAGTGAGTACAAAGTCTGATATCTTTTGGGATTTTAAGAGGGGCAAAGTGAACTTGTCATAAGCTACTCGTTGACATATTATGATCAATTAAAGAGTATAAAATGGGTACAAAATGATAAACCATCAGATTCAAAACTGTTCGCTGCGAAACAAATGAAGTGTGTTTCTTATAGTTGCAACAAAAAAGTGATGAAATAGGAATCTTTACGCTGATTTAGGATACACTTTGTTTCATCCAAATTACAGAACAAAAGGACAAAGAGGGGGAGCTTTAAATAATAAGCTCTTGTACTTTTTAACAGTTGCTTATCCAACGACACAAACTAACCCGGTCACACAAATGACCCATAAAAAAAAAAAAAAAAACTTTGAACAACTGTGCTTTGTCCTCATAGTTTAAAAATTATTTAAACTTTGTAATATACACACCTTTTCAGACAGTTGAAGCAGGAGGGGGGGAGAGGGGACTCCACATTTTTTCCAGAAAGGAATCCTGAATGTTTGTTTGTTTATTCAGACAATTTTAGTGATCTTATTGCGGTTAGAAAAAAGCAAAATAAGAAATACATTTTGAAGGGCCCCCCCTCCCCACTGGGGCCCTGGGTAGTCAGCCCCACTTCTTTTCCCCCCACTATGACGCCCCTGCGTTCAACCACTACCTCCTCACTCTGTATGTGCACAAGGAGGACTGTTACAAGTCTCTGAGCACAGAGGAACATCATATTTACATCATTATTTTGAAATCTATTTCTTCATATTAAAGGGGGGGGGGGCAAAGGGGCATGCTGTGGTGTAGTTTAACTCTATCTACGCCCCTGTGATGGCAGTAACATTAATGTAGCCTGAAGGCACATATAATAGCCTTACAGAGAACTGTGACACTCAGAGGCATATTCTCACACGGACATCCTTCAGCAAGAGTCACTCGAACAGTTTCCTCTTTTTTTTTTAAACAAACCCGGAGACGATCATTTAAAGCAGTTGTAGGTTATTTATCAAAGTTTAGCAGCTGTCACTATCGCAGCTCAAACGTCGACACATCCTACAAAGCCGGCTGGTCGTGGGCTTTAGTATAATATATATATATATATAAATAAATGACATTAAATAGAGTCAGGCAGCAGAGTCAACCTGTGTGCCGCTTCACTTACTTTGTACTTCATCTCGCAGCTCTTCTTTGTGACTCCAGTGAAAAAGTGAGAATTAAATCCGCTCTATCACATCTGTGGACTGACTGCGTGGAGTTTTTTTTTTTTCTCTCTCTTTCTGCGTGGGTTAAGCAGCCATCCAGAGCTTCATCGACAGGAGAAAACACGCAGGTAGAAAAAAATCTCTCTGCTTCTCTCTCTACTCCTCTAAAAACCCAGACTGTGGCACAGCTCACCACATTGACGGTTCCAACGGCTCGTTTGCATAAATGACGCTGATTGGTCGGGAGAAACATTCTGATCCCGCCCCCTTTAGCCCCCCTTCACCCTATCGCCTTGCGCTCTTTCAAAACTGACGTCATTTTAACAGCCTTACAAAATAAAACACTTTGAATCTGTTTGTCTGCAACAACGGAGGTGTTTATATGGACTTTATATGCATTTTATATTTAATTAGAGTCAGTTACACTAAACGTTTAAAACGAAATACATAAACTTATTCTGTTGTTTAATAATAGCCTAATATTTTTTCATTTCCCTTAAAAAATTGGAAAAGCTGTTTTGTGCTGGTGGTACCATTACAGCATACACTGAACTGCATAAGCACTTATTTGCAATCTATCATAAAAGGTTAATTGTTTAAGGCCTACTTAAAGGCTTTAAATGTGATTTTTTACACTTAAATGTAATACAAATCAAGTACATCCTCTGAAAATAACTCTGTGAGTCATGACTGTCTACAATGGGTGTAACACCCGAGTCCCACTGTCTGTGATGTTTTCAGAGTTTTCAGAGTCCTATCTTCAGTTTGTTTACATCGCCAGGACGGCCGGTTGACTCCTCCCCTCGTGTATAAAAGTTGTTTAATTGAGGGACTAGAGAAAAGAAGAATAACATACTGTACTCACTGCTTAACTGTGTTTCTAGATCACGCTCATTTCAGGTAAATTTACATGCAGTGTGAAGATACCAGCATAATAAAGATCGCTAGCATTAGCATGCTAACACAACAATGCAGCGCAAGTTGTTTTGGTTTCATGCTGGTGCTCAAGGGCGACACCTGCTGGATCAAAACATTGCATATAAAGCCTTTAAATAAATTGATTTTTTTCCCCTCTATTTGTCGACTAATTTCTACTATTTGTTTTTTATGATCAGAAATAAGCATGCCAAAAAGAATATGTTAAACAAGATATAAAAACTGTGGATAAGAACCCATCGGCATGGCATTTAAACCAGTAAGATGTAGTTCACTGAGCCTGAAAAGTTTTTTTAAATTTCATCTAAATGTTAACAACAATCACAAGTCTTTATCATAATAAACATACTAGCTATAGCTTTGTTTTTATTTTCTGTTATTAAGTATCTTTATTACTTACAGTGCACTTCTTATATCTTTTTCAATTAATTTAATCAAAGTTCATTTAAAAGTTTATAGATGTTGCTATCCATCAAAATTCTTTCTTTTGCATGCTTTCACTTATCACTTCAAAAGTCCTTCTGAGGGGGGAAAAAAAAGTGTTTCTTAGAAATAGTGAAACTGTTAAAGTGAAGGAAGTGCGATTATGTGGAACTGCCTTCCGCAAAGAAATGCGTCAGTTGGTTCAGATGAGGTCAAAAAGCTCCAGCGACACTTGAAGAGTATGAAGATCAACTTTATTACCAGTTATCATACAAGCCGAAACACGTCGGTCTCATTTATTCAAAAGTTGATCTTCATACTAAAAAGTAATGCTGGAGCGTTTTGGCCTCTTCAAGCCTTTCACTCTTCATGCACCTTGGTGGTTTGTGCCTGAAGATCACACCCTGCTTCTTCAGAAGGCTCAGAAGAAATATATCAACACAAAGCAGCATAATCCTTTTAACTCCACTATCTACCCTTTAATGAATAAATACATAGATATCACTTTCTGTGTCCTCTGCCATCCAAAGCTGCACTGCACAGATGAAACAAAGTGTTCTGAAACATCGATGCTTGAAAACACCGCTGTACAAAAACAAGGCAATCATGTTCTCTCTTGGGTGTTACCAACTTTTTGGAGAACAAAATAAGAGAATAAAGAAAGGAAATAGGTGTTACAGCTTTCCTGCTTCACCAATTTTCTTTAAAAGCTGTCTCTATTGGAACAATAGAAGAAAAACTCATTAAAAAAAGGGCAAATCTAAACCAAGCATGAATGCACCATAAATAATTGAACATTCATTCTTGAAGGTTGGTGCATACAGCTTAGCACTACAGGAGCTTTCTCCAAACATTTGAAAATTATAATCAACTAAAATGTGCTATCAATAAGCAGAACTCTTACCTGCAGCTGATTAATTTAAAGAAATTGGTCACAAAGCACACATTTTTACAAATGAACAATGATGTCAAAGTCTTTGTATAAAACAAGGATAACGTTTTTTAGTGCTCACCCTGACTCTGGTGAAGACAGCGCAGATGTTAGCAGAGATGTCACCTCTGCACAGCCGGCCGAGAATGTAATTGAGGTGACAAGAAAACACCCTGGCTGATGTCTCTGATAAGCTGGCAAGCGCCTCGCCTCTCTGCATCCCTCTGCTCACACCTCCTCCGTGCACATATCTCGCCTCTGCAAAGTATCACATCTGCATCTCGTGAGCACAGAAAAAAAAAAGTAACTTCCAAGAATTTGCATGCAACACAGGCCTTATGTGTTTGTGTCTGATTGTTATTTAGAGACTGTTTACTGTGCAGCATTAAAGGGGCAGACATCTCCTGTAATTAGCCGCTGCCGGATGCTTTAATTTGCTTCAGTTCGTTTATCACAATCACAGGGACCCTCATCGCGCCCCCCCCCCCCCCCTTCCCCCTCCCTGAACAGTCATATCCTTAGATGAATGCCTCCTGTAAGGGCACTCAAAACACTTGTTTGTGTAACATACACCCTGCCCAGCTGGAGCCCATTCTCTGGGCCGCTAGTGGGTTACAGGGGGGGGCTATTCTTTTCAGTGTATGGCATGTGATTCTGTGCATGTGAGCACCTGTTTCCTATGACAAACACAACTCATTTTCCCCATCTGGAGGAAGACAGCCTGAAAACAAAAAAAAAAGCCAAAAAAGGTTGTTTATCCCTTTTCACAACATTTGGCTGGATTGAATGAGTCCATTAGTCTCTAGTCTCTAGTGGTGTGTCATTTCGGTTGGTTTTCTACTAAAGCCTGATGTGCATTTTTATCAGCTCTTATAGTCGGTGGTGGATTCAGAAAGAAGTCGTCCTTGCAAGCTTGAGTTTCAGCCACAAAATCCCCCTTTTGAATCTCAGTGGAGAAGTCAAACAATCACTGGCTTGGGGAAGATTTGTATTGGCATTTGGGCTTGAGCAGAGAGCCCCAGTCGCCATGACAACTGCCACTATACCCCCCCTGTATTTGTGGGCTTACAGCGACTGTATTACATGAGCAGAAAAAGGGGCCTTCAGTGGAGGTGCAGAGAGGTCTTTCAGTAGGATTATGGCACATTTCAGTGTGGAAATAGCCCGGTAACAGTGCTGAGTGAAAAATGAGCCGCCCGCCTTTCATCTCCGCCAGGTGTCTGTGATGTTTGGGTTACATAAGCGCCCCTGCAGATCCGACCCCAGGTTTAACAGAGGGCAGAGCAGCCATACGTCTTCCATAAGTGGAGATCACAGGGGCTCTGTTGCCTGAAGCAGAGACCCTCGTTGCAGGTCCCCGGTGGATGGACAGAAGCAGGAGGTGTCGGTCTGACAACAGCTCGTCTGTGCAGGCTGCAGGGCGGAGGTGGCCCCTCACCACTGCCTGTGAAACACTGTCCCTCAAACTCTCGCAAAAACCAGCTCAGGAAGATTTATGGGACACCACTATCCCCACCAACACCACCCTTCTCGGTGCCTTACTCAGACAGATTGCCCCCCCCACTCGTCCTCAGTGTCTCTTTCTCTGTGTGCCCTTTTGTGACCTTGTGGCCGGGCAGCAGCAGAGAGGAATGCACAAAACACACACGACAGAAGATCGAGAAAATATGAGTCTGACACACAGTTGGGGTCACAATGTTTTTCTAAAGTTTAAGATGATGTGCCTAAAAGGGTCATTTTCCCCATCATAAAATCATTTCTCAATTATCGCTTCCTCAAACTGTTCAGCCATGCAGAAGTGTATTCTTTGCTGGATAGGTGTCTCTCAGATTTCTTTCAATGAAATACAAAGGAGGTGAAAGGAAAACTAAAATGAGCGAGTCAGCATCGCTTTTTGGAAAACCTTGACCTCGAACAAATGCCAAGTAAATTTGAGGACAGCACAAGGGTTAATGTTTTACCTTGATATTCTGTAGAAGAAGCTCGTCAAGAGGCAGGATACTCTCCTCTGTGGCGGCGATCAGCTCTGAATCCATTTTTTTTTTGTTCAGCATGAAGAACTTCAGACTCCGTACACTTCCCTGTCAAAGTCAGTCTAATTAGAATGATCACAGCCAAAACCAGCTTAAAATGCAGTCGGAAAAACATCAGTGACAAACGTATACGGGACGAGGCAGCAAAGATATATTCCAATACATTTGTTTGGATAGGTTTGGATAGGGCGGCCTCTGTTGCACTAACAACAAATGTCTCTAAGAGCAAGGAGGGTTCAACAGAGCTCGTCATCTTTTAAGTTAATATGAATCACCTTTCAAAGTTGGAAAACTTTCAATTTGTTGAGGTGACATAAACGTATAAAATTGAGTTAACGCAACATTTTCATAGACTTGAAGTAAAACTAACTTGGAATTTTATGTTATTATGACTTTTTTGGGAACCACTGTTTAATCAAACTTCATTAATTAGTAAGTTGAGGTGAAAAATCTTTTTTATGCATATGAAGACATCGATTGGACTCACATTTTCTAAATAAACTAAAAAATAAATAAAAATAAATGGAATCATAAATGTTATTTTGCGTGATGACGTACTAGTGACGCAGCGATAATGACCGTTAATGTTGACAGCTAGTTAACTTATCGAGTGAAGTGTAGCTGAATGGTCAGGGCACCTTAAAACGCCTTCTCTCTGGTAATATCTAATCTATTATTTACTACAAGTGTCGAGTCATAAGGTGAAGAACAACAATTTCATACTAACCAGATGTTTGTGGACCACGTTACTTCCGTTATCGCTTAGAAACGACGCAAGGTGGTTTAATGTTGCTGGAGAGGAAAACACAGTGCTAATTCCAGCAACGAATTCAAACAAATGTTATCTCAAGACACTTTACCGAAG